GGTTTTTACGTAATCACAATATTCCGTGAAATATCCGCTCCTAGGATGGAAACTACTGTGAGAGCTTGAGATGACTTACTTGGCTCAGAAGCCTAATGGATACACTCTTGAAAACTAATACGGTAGGGACTGGGTTCAAGTCTATATGGAAAACAATCATCTACTGTGATATATGGATCGATCGTTTTGTCTGAAAAATGGACCAGTAAGAGTTGTCTCATAGATACACAGACAAACTGGCAGAAGTTGGGATTCATGGGCCACTGGGTCGAGTTCCAGTGGTAGAATGATTTACCAGCTCGTCTTGTAACCGTAAAGTCCTGGTTTTGAACCCTACTGGGTGTGTACTATTAAAGAGTCCCAAAACTAGGTCGGAACAGCCGCCTTCCAGTAACATTATGTTTTCCACAGTTTCTCTAAATAATGTCAACTCGTGACCGAACCTGTGGATGGAAAAACAGCTGATGGATTTACCCCTTATGATGTCTATGTTATTGGCTTACGTATGCAGTATTTTTGGTTTTATTTATTCCCTATATATATATATATATATATATATTCGTGATTCACTGTATAAATATACTTTTTCGATTGACGTCGTTTTGTGTTCTCGATCAAGTAGCAGTCTGAGAAATGAAGTAGCCGTTGTATAAAGCTGGCAGCTGACAATACTCATGATCACTACATCTGTTACTAGCTCAGGCGTCCCTTTAAATTCAATCAACCCTGCTGCATATACTACACTGGTTTATTGGTACATCCAACTGGTATATCTCAGAAAGGACGACACATGCACATTGAATTCCGCCAACAAGAACTATCAACCAAATATCTTCTAGTTTGTTAAAAGGTTGGTAGATGAACTGAAGATCAAAACACATTAGCTAACACATAGAAAAACACAATTTAATCTGCCTAACTGGTTAAATAACAGTACATAATTCCTTTCATTCCACTTATTTCACACTTTCTTTATGGGTTATTATCAACTGAAAACTTATCATTGTACGCCCGGAGTTCGAATCCCAATCCGACTATTTTAACCTGGAAAACTGAGTAAATATCCTAAACCCTCACAGGTGATAGTGATAAGTGAATTCTGACTATGACTAAATAAAATTATATTGTTCTAGTTAGGTTGAGGATGATTCTAAAATTTTAATTTCTCAGATATACATTACTGACTGATATCAAGGAGTAGAAATTCTCAGTTAACAGCTAAAAAAATAAGATATGAGAGTGTTACATCAATCAACATGATCATTAGATTTTAATAAATACGACTTATTCTAGATAACTATGTCAGGTGACTCCATTTCATGGAAATCAATCAGTATTACAGGAGATTACTCATGACCTGAACAGTTTAATCGGTAAAGTTCTAGACTTTGCTATTGAAAAAAGTCAACTCGAAGTTCTACATAAAAGTGAAATTTCCATAGACTTACATGTACACACTGTGTGGTGAATGCTCGTAGTGATAAAACCAACTAATTTTTGAAGAATAAGTGAAGTATGTTGTCAACATGTATAAGTTCACTGATTGTTTGTTGGTCTATGCTATCTCAAAGCTGACTGTGAAACAAAAGAAAATGATACCACCTGTAATTGACATTTGAATTCGTTACCTTCCTTATACTATTAATGTCTGTCTCCTTTCTACACTTCTACAACATAACAATATTCTACTGTTAGTCTATGAAATTAGTGAACGCTAGACGTGAAAGCTAGTTTCCTTTTAGTCACTGTTAATACTTCACAAGTTTGAGCATGGTTTTTCTGTTTAAACGAAATAAATAATTCCGTTTAATCATTTGTTCAATAAACATATATACATACATATATACATTAATGGAGGTCAATAAATGAATCATAAATGCTGTACATGAAGTCATCTTTAAATTGATATGACATGAAGAAAGTAACACAAATGATGGAGTATAACAGTATCTTTATGTTTTAATGTTTCATTATAAATATATACTTCATTATTTATTTAAAATATTAGTTTTAATGTAGACAACAATAAGAGATATTATAAAAACATACATACCAAAAAGAAATTAAAGCAGAGCAGTTTAGTGATTGTGTTACTTTTGAAGTCAGTGAAAATAAATACAACTAAGAAACTCTGAAAGAATCTTTTGCTTATTCATAATTCCATGAAAATCTTTACATTGTACAACAAAGTTTTAAAATGTGCGCCTTTAATATTCAACCAATTAATCAGAGTTTAATTACTTTTATTGACTAAATCATCAGGTGAACACCATAGAGCTAAAGTTAGTCAACTAAAAGTGTGAAGGTCTTTTGGTATTTCGAATGAAAAAAGCGTCAATAATTATTGCTAATGATATTAAGCACTCCATATCCTCCAGTGATTTATCTAAGGTTCCTCCGGTAACAGTTATTTAACTCAGTAAATAGCTGCGTATTCTGAAGAGTAAGTTTGCAGGGATTTGATTTGCTTCAGGTTTGATTATGAAATGATATCAGAGAGCTACTAACAACCAGGGAGTACTGGAGAGCTGTTTCCTCCTGGTTTGTAACTCTTCACCCGTGGAACCTTCAGGTTATGAATTCCAAGCACGTCGACTATTCATCCATCCGATTAAACCGTAACTCAATGCCCTGAGAATTCTAACTTCTATCATTTCGCAATTCTAGCTCCACTACCAGTCACTGTCATCGGTGAGTATTTGTCGTGACACCCAGCCTGGTGGACCTCAGTGGTCACAACTTCTCATTAAAACTCCAGGAAACCTCATCCTGCATTCAGAAACTAGTGAGCATAAGATTAATTTTCAAGTGTCAACTTTAAGGGATTTAGCTGACTGCAAGTTTGGTCATGATCTGATCTCAGTTTGATCCCTTGTGAGACCATGCATGTGTACCACCGAAGAGTCCTAAACTAGAATGAAACAGCGATCTAATATTGGAATAATAATAGTAATTTAAGTAGGCCACAGTGACATATTCATCCTGTTCAGTATGGCTCATTGTTTTATAGGCCTGAGAATTCATGCTAATAGAGCTCAAGTGTCCGACATCAAAATATGCTCCAGTTTAAATCGAGTGTACTTCAGTGACTATTTTTGAGACTATTTTTTATTAAAACTTTAGCGATAATTCATAAGTGATAGAATCAATTAGGTTGGGTTTAGTGTTATTCAACTTTAGTGAATTGGTGGTTCAATAGTGAAATGCTCGCCAACCACTCACTTGGTCCGGGTTCGATTCCCAGCCAACGCAACCATTAAACTCCCCTAGTTCAATAGCATTGAGTAGGTCAGTAAAAGGAGAGGAAGTTAGGTGTAAGGCTAACATCCCCACCCTATAGAAGCAGTAGCAACGCTAAAGAAACTTCAGAATGGTTGAAGCCTTACGTTCTACTCGAAATGCAAAAAAATAATGCACAACACACCTGCTAGTGAATGAATTTCAGCAATAAAACTTTATGGTGCTGGATTCAGCATCTGGTTATGTCACAAGTCTGTGTGCTTGGAAATTTTCGTATTATATATTGTATATTTCTTTTTCGTTTTTAATGGTGCTCCGCCATTAAAATTTCTCTGCTATAAGTTGCAATTTAATATGCTTGTGCAATAATTCGCAGCTTCTTCATTTTTTGGAAAGTGTATCAGTTGTTAGTTGTTGAGATGGATTGACTGGTTTTACCATACTGAGATGCTTTGTCTTCATTGTCATGGCTGATGTCTTAAAGTTACAACGATTGATGTATTTTGCTTCCGTGGATAATAGCCTAGTGGATAACTCTCTGGAGCTTGAAAATTCGGGCGAAGTATCCATATCTCAGCTGGAACACTGTTGCTCAATCGGATAGCAGTACATTCACGCGGCGAGTCGCAAATATGGGATGAGTTGTGCATTTTGAACTTAACCACTATTCTCCATCAAATAAGTAACATCAAATCAAATTTTTCATACTAGGAGTGTACTAGTCAACTGACAGAGAACATCCCGCTCCTGTGAAATCAATCAGCTGGGAATACAGAACAATTTCAACAGAATTTCGAATACCTCTGTGATTTAATTAGAGACTTATATGGAAAGTTTAGATGTAGTCTGACTGATACACAGATACGCTTAATTTTAAGTAGATATATTTCAAAAAAGTACACAAAACAGGGGAACATACATACAGCGAAGCAACGCTTTGAAAAAAACATGGTTGAGATGAACAGAGAGGATCAATGAAGATTGGTGAATAACATCGGAGTGTGGAAAATCACAAAGGATGAACACACGTGTGTTCCGTTAACGATCTGCGGCCATCTGATTAAAAGTCTGCAGGCATTGATTGTCAAGTAAATATCGTAAGTATCCTAACATAATTCTACCTGACAAGGAATATGAATAAGTGTCTGGAGAAATTACTAGTAAATTTTGGGCTGACTAACTTCAGCTTTCGTTAGTCATTCAAAGGAATACCCAGGATAAGTTTCTCCAAAACATAATTTGACATTAATTCTTGTTCTCAATACGAGTAAGTAAGCACATCAGGAAATCCCCAACAATTCATACAGGGAATCGAACCCAGAACATTTGGATTACGAAGACAGCCTAGTGATCATTCAGTCGCTGGAACGGAATCCAACAGTCTGTGAATTCCAACTCCTGTCATTTCGTAACATATACCACGTATGTCAGTCAGTCAATGTGACTGATGAGTATTTGTCGTCACATCCGACTTGATTTATTCCACTGGTCAAGACTTTGCATTAGAACTCCATGAGCTCCATTGCGGAGTCAGTCATTAGTGAGCAACAGATTTATTTTCAAGTCTTAGTTTCACAGACTTAATCGATTCCTAGTTCGATCACTTGAAATCTATTGTCGAAATCGTTTACCTCTAGGCACTCATCATCACCATCATTTTTATTATTGTCTGATGAACTAATTTCGAAATAAATTGTTTAAACAAAAAAGGCCAAATGTTTTCATCAGATGCAGAAAGAAATACAAGATTCTAAACTTACTTATATGGATATTTCTCTTCTACTGCAATTGCTTCATTTGTATGAACATGTTTTATAACAACATACTTATCCGACTTTGAAAATAAAAGAAATAAAATGTTTAACATTGAACAGCATAGAACACCGAACTGAATTTATTTTTATCTTATTTATTTGTTTTAAGCAAAGTGCTTTAAGCAAATATTATTTTTGAGAATAATGTGAAATTTATGTCAATGAAGATTTCGACGTGACTCTGGCATTAGATAGGGAGTTACTCAATGAAAACGACTGATCATCGAACAACTATTTCGTCCTTGTTTAGGAGTATTCAGTAGTGTCCACAAACGTCTCCATAAGTTATCGAACCCAGGACCTTTAATTTACGAGATGAGTCCGTAAACGATTTCACCAGTGAACTGAATTCTAAGGAAACGTGAATTCTGAACACTGTAAATTCTATTCCTAATGGAGTCCTCGGTGCAAACTGCTAGAAAGTCCCAAGCTAAAACAAAAATACTTTATAGTGATACTTATGTAATCACTGGTCCTGTGAATGATTTCGACTTGTCGTAAAATTTTCAGCTGAATTAAACGAAATTCCTATAAATTTAAAAAGAGACGGAGTGAAGGTTAGATAATAGTTTATAGTTTCTTCGTCTTCTTGAAAATATGTATAGTAAGCTCTAATTGGTTCGTTTTATGTTTCTGCAATTTAATTTTAGTCCTTCGTTCTCTTGTTTCTTCCCAGCCGTTCCCAAACGATTATTCATCTTTAAACTAACTAGTTAATTGCGTAAGACTACTCTTAATTTTTCAAACATATTGGTTGGAGGATTTCATCAAACATAGTTATTACTCATACAATTTGACTTGCTCTGTCACTAAATGACAATGTCGTACAACCTCTGTTACCAATCTGCATTGTACATATAAATCCCTAAAACACTGTACAGCTTTGAAGTGTTCTTAGTTACATGAAATAGGAATCTTTCAAACCCTGATGTTCAGTATTGAGAGGCAATCATTGGAGTCCTTCTGTGGTTGATCATCGATTTTAACTAAACTTTCCTTTCAAAAGTAGAATAGGTTTACCTGAAGTTTTATACAAGTGATTTCTGCTCAGAAAATGAAATCCGTGTTCTTTCATGGATAAAACGGTAGAACTCATTTATCCTGTACAGATCTCTTATTTATCAGGCTATAAAACATAAGTGTTCAGAAAAAGCTGATAATACTACCCATTCACCTAGAGTGGAGTTGGTTGAGTGGCATTCGAACTGAAGAATCACCGGATGAAAGTCAAGTGCTACAGTCAATCTACCACATCAACACATCAAAGTTATGTACCACCTGTTGCTTTGTTTTACCTTCGTGGTCTTGATTAGAAAGTGTTTAGCCATTCAACACTACCGTAATTACTTACTTCCTGACTAAATACATCTAGTTATTGATGTTCTATTCCTTCATTCAAACAGCATTTAAGAAGTGTACTGAAGTGGTACTTCGTCTAATTTAGCGAAAATGCTTATTTCTTTTTGTTTAATATTAATATGGTATCACAGGAAAGTTGTGTTGACCCTCACAGATGGAGTACGCCCTGTAGGTGGATATGTTAACAAAATGTCGAGTGATGTGAAAAGTATGAACTAAAATCTTAGTAAGTCAGATATGAGACGAAGACACAAAAATGGCTTGTAGTGATCGATAGTTTAAAGCAAAGGGGTAATGAAATGATTGAATATGCTGGCCACTTCATTTATCATTGAATTTGCATCAGCCTCCAGTCAACTGATCGATAATGATATCTGTTCAGAGACGTGAAAAACTTCTTTGATATTTTAGGAAACTTCATAATAAACTGCACAACTGTAATATCTGGATACTCATGAAAAGATGTGATTAACGCAGAACGATAATCATTGATAACATCAAACAGTGTTTATGTCAAGGAATATATGTCTGCTGATGAGATTCTCAAGCGTTACTAATTAAGCTGACTGAGATATGTGCAGTATATGTTGAATTATCGGCTTTTTCGACGAACAATCTCAGCTAATCTAAGATCTAGACGTAATGAATTCGAATTAGTCTTAATGAAACATAGCATCAGTCCATGAAGTTAATAATTATTGATCTGATCCACATAGGAAGGTGTATGCTATGTGTATAGGGTCTGTAGGATGTTAAAAATCAATTACAATTTACTCTTTATGAGGAATCTGAAGGCTTTACAAAACAATACGCTAAAAAAATAATAAATTCTCCTGGGTTTTCTGCTTAATGTGGTAGTATTTTTGCTTTTGAAATGACGCATGGTGAATCCGATTGCCGGTGGGAAAAACATCCACCTGGTGAATCTCAAATGTGGCACAAAACGCGTATAGTGAGTTCGACTGCTAGCTACCGTTAACCACATAACATGACGTTAATCTCTGTGTTAACCTTGATGTGTTCGTAACTGCAGCTGATATTTTAAATGTGACCGAGCAGTTCATTAAAATGAAATACTGAGAATAAAAATTTCAGAGATACTCTACTTCAGCCAATATAACGACCACCAATAGTCACTACAATGGTTGCCAGGAGACACAATTATGTCATTCATAGAGAATTTAAATGAGTTAATTCCATACTAAAACTTCAGCTGAAGATGTTGTCTAGAAGGATGACAAAGCTTCTCAATTAAATCAACAAGCTCAGAGAACACCACTAATTCAAAGTCAGGAGTTAGTGTGAGCGTAGAACTTGGACACTGTGGTAGAATGTAATTCCATATAAGGCAAGTTTACTTCAAACACCACACAGTGATGCATTATTAACAACTGCATGACGTTTCGAGCATAAATTACTGCTCATAATCAAATCAATTTTAGCGAAACGGTTTCACAATTTGTCTCATATATATTTTCTCTCTTTCTGTCTATCCAATTTCCATTGTGATTTTTTTACCACTTTCCATATCTCCCGTATAGGCGTTACGTCATTCTAATTGCGCATGTGTGGTGTTAAATGACTAAACAAAAATTCAGTGAATAGCCCCTCTCTCCACCTAGGGAGTACTAGGCGGTTATTAAATCCTATTTTAGTATAATTTAGAAACACGAACCAACGAGTCCATCAGGGATCAAACGTGAGACCTTCAGGTTTCGAGGTCAAGTTCATTGACCATTCAGCCACTTGGTATGGAGTTCAGTGAAATCCAACCTCCATCAACTCACGATGTTAGAGCCACCGCCAGCCAATGTAATCAACAAGTATTTGTCCTGACGCTACACCTGCTGGACTCCAATGATGGCGAATTCTTACTAAAACTCTAAGTAGCTTTGTCCTGTAGTTAGTTAGTAGTCAAAATCAGTTATTATTTGCAAACTGCAACACTTTTTTTCCAAATAATTCGAATTAATAGTTAATCACAGACAATAGTCATCAAGAGAGACAGCTATGTCAACTTTCATGGAAAATTTCAAAAGGACTCACTTCGCACTAAGTAAGCTCTAAAATATTGTTCAGATAAAAAATGAAAGTCGCAAATTTAACACAACCACACTCAAAATACTGCAGCATCAGTGTAAAGTTTATGATTTGCTTAATGTAGGGTGTAGTTTGAGCTAATAAACCTCGCTTTTACAGTCTATAACGCTTCGTCTCTTCGCCGGATTCCATTCATTGATTTATTCGTATAGTATAGTTAAATTTTATGCAAATATATATATATATACTGATAGTTTTAAATGTTGGTTTGCAGCGATTTGATTAGTAACAGATTTGATCAGGAGCTGATATCAGCTAAAGAACGACTGAAAAATAAGAAATTAATGCACAGTTGTTCCGTCCTTGTTTAGAACTCCTCAGTGGTTTGCACACGACAAGTTTTGAAATCACCACCATCAGGTTAAAAGTCAAGCTCGTGGCCCACTCAGCCACTGAAACCCAATCTAATGGTCCATGAATTTCAACTCCTCTCACTGCATGATATATATATATCCGGCCATCGACCAAAGGGCGTTTGTATTACTCAGCAGTCCGCTCTATCCTCCTTTATGCCTGTAAGACCTGGCCATCGAAAGTGGAAGACATGAAGAACTGGCTGGCTATGTTTGATCATAGGTGCCTGCGTTCTATCTCCAGTGTGAAGTAGTATGACAGGGTGAGCAATGTTGGGTTAGGCGTCGAGTGCTAAGTAAGGAGGGGAAATCAATAGACGAGGCTGTAAAGTTAGGACAGATGCTACGCATGCCTAGCCATCGCCGTCCTCGACGGGCAATGTTAACTGACATAGAATAGTCACGGTGGAAAAGAGCCAGTGGTGATCAAACCGAAACATGACATAAGTCAGTGAAATCCACAGCAGTTAGTTTAAGCCTGCCACTTAGGAAGATGTAGACTTTCTAGTTGGTGTCCTGGGGATAGTAAAAACCAATGACTGCAAACAATTGGAGATACTGTTCAAAATCGTTCTCAATGGCGTATACGCATCCGCTCGTTGTGAATTATAATATCCAATAAAACTTTGTGGTTCTTCGATTTTCTCCATAATGGAGTTATGCTCTACAACAGTGTCCAAGTTCTATACTTAGTTCTTCGATTTTACTATTCTTTTTGCCTCATATCTCTGTTTACTGTCTCTGTTTTGCATTTTTTGCTTTCTTCTCTTGCTCTGTGTGCTAACTGAAGTGTGACGACTCGAACTGTTGTATATAAGTGCAAAGTTCTATGTTGGAACCGGCCAGTCAGTCCAGTCAGTATATGAATATACAGTCGCACCCAAACACTTCTATTGTGGAAACAGACTGTGGGTTTATTTAATATATTTTAAGTTTCATTGGTATGTTATTTAATTTTTTTGGAAAAAGCATCTAGATTTTGATTTCAAACAGATTTAAGCTTTCAGTATATTTTCTGCTTTTAAATTTCTCCTACCGATATGTGTGATAACAGATAATTTTCAGTTTATCAAAATGCTGCCTAATAATAATAGGTTCCAGTTTAATAATATGTAATTATAATTTCATATTTAGAAAAAATAATAATTTTTTTAATTCCTAGATTTAAACGTATGAATAAAAGCTGAAACAAAGATATCAATCATGTT